TGCTGTTTCTCAGTAGTATACCCGCATATTTCAAGTCCATTTTCAGTATGTACAACTATTGATAACCATGTGCATTCACATGGGTTATTAATACTAATCATATATAGATCGAAGATCGACTTAGGTTATTTTTTAATGGAAAAGTCTACTTAACCCAGAAATGAAACCAGCTATTCTTCCAAGTAAGATATAACAAGCAACGGCAAAAAGAACTACTATCTACACATGGATATAAAGGTAAACGAAGAAAAAAAAACAAACATAGATTGATTTCTTTATTTTGTTGGCGATTTCTCCAATCGGCATTAACCCATAAATATATTGTTTGGCTTTTGCTTGGGTTCAATATATTAATTAAACTAGGATTATTTTAGAAAGCATTATTTTTGTGTCATTTGTCAAAAACAATGTAGGCATTATCTTAGGGCCTGCTTAGTTTCCACCCCAAAATTTTACACTCTGTTACATTGAACATTTAAACACCTGCATGAAGTATTAAATATATGCTAAAAAAATAACAAATTGCGACTAATTTGTGAGACGAATCTTTTAAGTCTAATTGCTCCATGATTTGATAATATTGTGCAACAGTAAACATTTGCTAATGATAGATTAATTAGGCTTAATAAATTCGTCTCGTGGTTTGCTGGCGGATTCTGTAATTAGTTTTTTCATTAGTGCTCAAACACCCCATGTGACACCCTACATAATATCCGATGAAACATGCTAAAATTTAACACTCCTGGATCTAAACACCTCTTTAGTATTTTTGTCCAGCTAAGGAGGGAGAGCTTTTTCGATAACATTTTTGCCCTCGACCTAGCTAGCTATATATCTTAGTATAAGGAGAGAGAAAACATTTTAGATAACAGTTTTGCCTTTGACCTAGCTTGCGGACATCATGGTTGGACCAGACCTAGCTATGGCTGTGGCACACCTTACTGATTGTGTCTGATTGTATTTTGCCTAGTTGTGCTCCTAATTAAATAATGGTACCAATTTCAATGTATTAGTACGAGATTAATCAGTATTTCAGTGTAACATATTTGGAGTAAAGATGTTTAACTTTAACATACTGCTTAGAATAATTAACAAGAATATAACACAGTGCAAGTTCACATGTGCATATAACTCAAGAGATTCACTGACTACAACAAGTTCTTCAGCACTGGCAATAACAAGTGCAACAGATCAAGAGAGTCGTATATAGCATCCCAGGCAACCATGCATGCAACAGAATTTCAAAATATATATGAGAACATTCGGAAATCGGAACCCGGCCGTGCTCGTTAGGCATCGAAGCTTCGATGCGCGTGATCTCATTGTCGCCGGACTGCGCTGCCCCTGCGGCCTCCGTTCAACGGAGAACGCCGACTGTCCTGCCGTCACTGCGGTGCGCCTGCTTCGCAGAAGTCCGTGGCCCGTACGTCCCGCCGTCGCCGTGGTGCGCCGCCCTCCGAAATGAGATGTTTACCGGGACGTACTGTGCTCCACAGATACATATTCTTTGTCCTTACTAGCTAGGTTATAAAGATCCTCCCAAATGGTAGTTCGTGTGGTATGATCTGGTTGCTAGCTAGAGTTGCCTCAGTGCGACTCTCCGGTCATTAATGATGATTTTATTTGGAAAGTGCAGAAGAATGTGATCTTTTAGTAAACTCAATGTATAAACCGCTTATCCTATGTGATGTTACGTTGTTCCAAGGAAGTTTGTTTTCTGGAAACTTAGGACCCCTAGATGTTTTTTCAAGATCACTACAGCCTACAGGAGAACTAACCTGACACAATTAATGCGATGATAGATGTTCAGATATACACTTTTAATTGCGCAGCTAGTGAAGCACTAACAAAAATCATAAAACTTCTGAACTCATGGCACTGACAAAAACGTCCCCCGGCCCAATCCCCAAAGAACAAGTAGTCAAGCTCAGTAATAACTAAGCTAACAAAATTAAGAAAAGTTTAGTGCTCTGTATTTCTAGCTCGCTAATTACATTTGTATCGATCATCACCCAAGGAACACTGACTCGACATAGTATAGTATGTTTTATTACATGATTAGAGCATGTTTAGTAGTATAGCCAACTACTAGCTACAAATTATCTATAGCCAATGTAATAGTCAATTTAGGCAATAGTTGCTTACTACATTATTAATATCTGGTCCCACCTGTCATATACACATTACGTCTTAGAGTCCGTGCTGCAGTTGGCTACAAATCTATAGCCTGCTGCTCTTCTCTTTCTTCTTTTATCTCTTTAAAATATGTTTATAGTTTGCTTATAGTCTGCTATTGTAACTACTCTAAGTAGCTATATGACTGAAAGCTTGCTACATCCTGTCAATTTACAGTAATTGACAACTAGTAGCTCTCCTGGCAGGACTATAACTGCATTAGATGATTGGCACTCTACTTGTTTTACCCCGACATAAGCAATAATAATTAAGCAAATAAGGACCTCATCTTTTTCTTATGCTTATTATACTTATCAGCTAAAATTTGCATTTTCAACCTTAAATTTGGTGTTGATTTTCAGGTTTTTTCATCGAAGTTATTTTTTAGCCTTTGCTTTTATATCGCTAAGAACATGTATATCAAAGTTTTTATTCACAAATTATTTTTCGTTTGCAAATATGTTGTTTGGCTTATTCCGTGAATAAGCGAAAAGATGGGTCCATTTTTGCTTCTTTTGTTATGTAGACACAAACTCTCAGGTGCATCTAGCAAAAGTACTTAACTACTAGTTGAACTTGAAATGTACACTAACTATTGCCAAGCTCAGGGGAGAATTGTTGTTACTCAAGGCATTTTAAAACTGAACACATAGAGTTACAAAATATTCAATGTTGTAGGAATTAGGTTATGGCCACCTAAATAATATGATTTCATAGTTGCTTTCATGCACATATGTAAATAATATGACAAAAAAATTCTGACAAACTGAAAAAAAGGTCTGACAAAATACAAAATACAAAGACTAAAAAAATACAAAAACTAACTAATTATGCTAGATGAACCTTCTGCTAACAAAACTAACATCTATTGACTAAAATTTGCTAACAAAACCTAAAATTAATTTGGTTAACAAAACTGGGGTAGATAGTGTTACTAGATGACAAAATGACAAAACTAGCTAGTACTAGATAACAGAACTATGTGTGATCCTACAAGAAATATGACCTTCTGTGACGAATTCCTCGTGACATCGGAGCTATTCGTCATTAGCACATTCCATTTTATGACGATTAGTATGAGATGGGGTGGCTTAGTGACGAAAAAAAGTGTTCGTCGTTAATACCAACTAGAAATCGTCATAAATTATTTCAATGGGACATCATGACGAATATTAATTTGTTATAAGGGGCACAAAGCAAACGTCATGGATATATATAATGCATTTCTAGAAAAATATACTCCCTCTATCCTATAATATAAGGCGCGGTCAAAGATAGCACGGTCTCCAAAACTAATCTTTAACTTATAATTTCTCATATACTATAAGATTTGTAGCAACAAAATTATAATCATATGAAAGTAAATTTAAATATCAATCTAATGATATAACTTTTAACAAATAAAATTCATTTCAAATTATACAAAGTGTTGGTCAAATGTTGAAAAGTTGAATCTTGACATGTGTGCACGCCTTATATTATGGGATGGAGGAACTATTAAAAGTTAAAGTAATTTAATCATGTGAATTAATGAAGAAACTAAAATTTTCCTTAAAAAATCATGGCCGGAAATATTTTTTTTAATATTTTACGTGGTCCAAATTATTCTTTGAAATTTTCTGTGAATTTTCGGAGCTAAATAACTAATTTTAATACCACAAAATTCATTTAACCTATTAAAATAAATAAAAAATAAATTAAAATTCCTCTCTGTCCTTGGGCCTTTTTCGGCCCAAGTATTACTCTCTCCCTCACATAGCCCGTTGCCTCTCTCTCCCTCCTCCCTCTTCGGGCCGCTGGCCCAGCTCTTTTGCTCCTCCCTCGCCGAGAAGTCTATTTTTCTTCCCTCCTCTCAATTCAGATAACTTTTCGAGTAGTAAATTATTTCAAATGAAAAAATTGTCAACAACAAAGTTGTATAACTTATGAAGATCCATAACTTTTGTTTTGGTCATTTTGCTATATGACTTTGTTTCAAAAATTTGAATTTGAATTTCAAATTATAACAACTTCAAACAATATTTTCAAATATTAAATGATTTCAAATGAAAATGTCATCAATAACAAAGTTATATAATTCATAAATATCTATAAATTTTATTTTGGTCATTTCTTCATCCGACAAAATGATGGTAACATTGTTCATAAAATTTACACATCTCTTATGAATTATGAAATCATATGGGAGATATGTAAAATTGAAATCATATGGGAGATATGTAAAATTTGTGAACAATGTTAAAATCGCTTTATCGGACGAACAAATGACCAAAATAAAAATTGTAGATCTAGATGGATTATACAACTTTTTTGTCGATGACTTTGAAGTCGTCAACTAATAAAAAAATTCTATTTGAAGTTCTCAAACTTTGAATTTCAAAATTTGAATTGTTCAAATAGAGCCAGACGGAGAAATGACCAAAATAAAAATTTTGCATAACAATGTGTTCTACAATTTTTATTTTGGTGACTTTTCTATTTAAAATCATTTATTAACCTCAATTTTTGTTCGAAGTTATCAAATTTTGAAAATTCAAAATTTGAATTGTCCAAATGAACTTATTTGTGAAAAGTAGCAATACAATAGTTGTAGATCTCGATGAGTTCTATAATTTTTTTGTTTATGATTTTTGCATTTGAAGCATAAAAATCAGCCTAAATATTAAATTTAAAGTTCTCATAAATTAAAATTAAAAAGTACCATAAAGTCATTCCTGTTTCGGCCCAAATTGCCCAACTATTTCTGACCGTCCATCTCCGATCTAATGGTTCTGATCGGAGTCCCTAACCCTAGCCCCATATAAAACCCTCCTCTCCACCCCTCCTCCTCCTCTCTCTCTCTCTCCACCCTCAGCCGCCACACTCCCATGTCCCATCCACTCTCCTCTCCTCTCCGGCGGTGGGTACAGGCGATGACAGCGTGCGGCGGCGTCCTCCTCCTCTATTGCCGCTCGCGGTGCCGGCTTACTCTCCCCCACCGCTTACCACGCCGCCTCCGTCTCCGCCGTCGCCAGGCTCGGGAGCGGCGGATCTGCCGCCGATAGCGCCGGCTTCCGGGCCGGCATCCGTCTCCGCCGCTGCTGGGCACGGGAGCGGTGGATCCGCCGCCACCATCCACTCCCCCACCACCGCCGATCCCCTCTCTATGCATGCCTCACGCCGTCGCATACCCTCCCGATTTCCCTCTCCAATGATGGATGGTTTGGTTTGGTTTGGTTTGTCTGCTTGCGAGCAGCTTCTGGTTGCTGTGCGTGTTCGGATGTTTCTAGTTTCTCTCCCCCAATTTCGTGCGTTCTGGAGATAAATTAGCGGGAGGCTGTTTCTAGTTTTTCTCCCCCAATTTCGTGCGTTTCTAGTTTATTATTTTTCGCGGAAGTCTGTTCGGATCACCACTGGGAGCCAGGCACTTGATGAGGTGCTTGGCGGTAACATAGTAACATATATAGTCCTCCGACTTTGTTATGATCAGTTGTTCCATTATTTTGTTCTAATCTACTTGCATTTTTCAAATTTTCAAGGAGGGATTGAAGCACTGCATCACAGAGGCATTTGGAGAGTTTCGGTGCGTAGATGCTCATGTTCCTTTTAATTTTTTTGCCCTCGTTTACAACTGCAGCTTGGTTGTATCAATGAAATTTATGATGTGTGGCCATACCTGTCTAATAAATATGGTGAAATCTAGCTTAGTAATACTATTAGTATTCTGGTTTAAGTTAATTTGCTAATGCCTTTTCAAACCTGTTGTGCACCCATTTCTATCTTCTATTCATGCCAGTGCATACAGTAATTCCTAAACATGTTCTGTATTCTGCTAAAACTAAGAGATTAATATTGTATTTCTCATTTGTAAACTTCAGGTATATAAATATCAATATTGTCGAACTATTTTACTATTTAATTTTAATATGAGCCAGCCAAACATTGAACCTTGATGTACTCTGGACCATCCCTTCCCATCGACGAAAAGGACAACCTGGTTCTTACCAACCTCCTGACATTAGTCACTGTAGCTCAACTCCATAAGTTTAATCTTCCATTTTGTTTTTTACACAATTCCAGATCTAGCTAGCTCAAAACAAATATCTACGTTATGTTCCTATGCCATCCAGCATAACCAATGTATAGTGCTTCTTGTTAGCTTTAAGATACATTTACATCCCCTGCTGTTACATGCTATTTGCTGCAGCTGCATAAGTGCCATTTTTGCCCCTAATGAACTATCCAAAAACTATATAGTCTCACCAAACAGTCTTGTATACAAATGCAAATCATACACCTTCTTGGTTACTATACCTTCTTTCATTTGTATACAAAAAAAGCTGTTTCTGCTTACTATACCTTCTTGGTTGTTCTTCCTTTTGTATACAAATGCTATTAACAACTGAACAACATACATATAATTTCTGCCCTTCAGTTCTCATGCGGCAGAAGAAACATGGAAATAATACCATGCCTCAGTGCTGTGCCTATTTTCATATATCGTTCTCATTATATACAACATTCCAATGTATAATGGTTCATTCTTCATTTTATTTGTGGCTGCCAAACTGATGGACAACCTTCAGGTGAGCAACCCACATAGGCTGATAAGCTCATTCTGCCTCACACTTCTTCCATGGCCACAGAAACAGCTAGCCAGGTAGGACACCAGCATTTTCCTGTTTGCCAACATTTTATTCAGCTTTCACTGATGTAGCTAATATATTTGTTGTCACTTCCTGTAGATGAAAGAAACTGTATCTGCTGATGCTAAAAAAGAAAAGGTATGCTTCTATATACTGCAGAGCTAGCTAAGTCATGTTTGTTGTTTACCTTTCACGCGCATTTCCTTTAAATATGCAAATGAAAAAACTGTCAGAGAGTGATGACATGTATTTACAAACAATTTGCATTTAATTTCAGAAGCAAACTAAGTATAAGGATGCTCCACCCACTGCATTTGATCTTTTCAAGATGTGCCATTGCAACAGCAATACGAGTTTTAATGAGCCTGTAAAGAATGTTATTGTGAGTTACATTTTTCTTTTATCTTTTGCAATTATATATTAATGCGAATAAAATGTGTTTTGTGATTTCTTATCTTCCTATTGCTAGGCTGAGATGGAAGTTCATTGATAATCCTGCACAAGAAGGGCAAGATATGATTGGACTTTGTAGATATGGTCAGTGATGTAGAACTTTGTTTTGCTATCTAGGATATGGTGGTACTGTTATGTTTTGCTCACCCGACTGAACCTAGTTTGGTTGTAAGATTTGTGTTGTATTGGATGTTTGTCGGGTTGTGCTATATGGGTTGTTATTGTGTTTGATTGTTGGGCCTATATGGGCTTAGCACACTTGTTATTTGATACTAATATAAATGAATATAATATGATGGGCTGAAAATGGTGTGTCCAATGTTTGGGTCTATATGGGCTTTTGTAATGGACATGGCCCATTTGTTATTTGATTTTAAAGCAAAATGGATATAATAGAATTGGACTGAAAATATGCTACATCATATATGGGGCTAGGATAAAATCTAGTTGGGCTTGCTATTGGGCTAAGCCTGTAAACAGGGTGCTCAATATATGGATTTTAATGGGCCCTTAGATATTTTATGACGTTTTTTAGGCTAGATAATGACGAATTTGACCGTCACAAAGTTATGACGACAGAAGTATCGTCACAAGATTAATGACGAAAAAATAAGGTTTCGTCATAGAACCCCATTAGAGATGCATGATAGGTGACGAATGAATTTTCGTCACACAAGCGTCACAGATTACAAAACGTGACGAAAAATTCAATATTTGTGACGTAAGTGAAGCGTCATCTATCATAAGATCTCTTGTAGTTAGACTAGTAGATGACAAAAATAACAGATACTCTTCATTGCTAACAAAACTATGTGTACTCATAGTACCAGAAAAAAAATGTATTTTCTTCTGATTACAAGTTTTCTCTGAAATTTGTTGACAAATATAATAATTCACAAATATGTTTGCTAATAGTACTACTAGTGAACTTAACGAAAACCCGGCATAAAAACTTCACATGCTCAGAGCTAGTTGACAACGCTCATCATAGCTCATCTTTACCAACTGAAATGCACTAAGAAATTAACTAATCTCTATTGACTAAAATTTGCTATCAAAACTAACCTGATTAAAATTTGTGTTAACGAAACTAATCATACGAAACTGCATGTATGCTAAGTAGCTCTTATTAGTCTGGAATCTCTTCTTAAGATATTACTAATTGTAAAGGCCAATGAGCTATCATCCTGAGAAAATCAAATTACTGAGAGCCCTGTATTCAAGAGAAATTACATCATGATTTTTCAGTACTGAATTTTTTTTAAAAAAAAGATATCAATAATCTATCTATATAGCATAGTATAGGGAATGGAAAACCACCTATATGGTATAAGACAGAACAATCATAAGGAATTATAGGCTGTTTTGCTTCTGCCCAAGCCTGAAGAAGAATCAGACAACGACAATAACTGAATCATCCATCCCTTCCCCCTAAACTCCCCGGGGGGGGGGGGGGGGGGGGAGCTAATAGGCGATCGACCGCCCGATCGCCTGGGCGATCGCCCAGCGATCGGTTTGCCCCCCTCCCCCTATACTCCTCCCTCTTCTCCCCCTTCCTCCTTCCTTTCTTCTCTTTCTACTACAGTACACCACACTTTTTTTTTAAAAAAACAAAAGTTAGAAAAATTTATGTATAGAAATACTATATATAAAAAATTTAAATTCAAATTTAAATTTGAATCGGGTATGTAAACTTTTGACTTATAAACTTTGGGTCTATAAACTTTAGGTGTATAAAAATACTATATATAGAAAAAATTTGAATTCAAATTCAAATTTGAATCAGATATAATTCAAATTCAAATTTGAATCGGGTCTGTAAACTTTTGACTTATAAACTTTGGATCTATAAACTTTAGATGTATAGAAATACTATATATAGAAAATATTTGAATTCAAATTCAAATTTGAATCAGATATAATTCAAATTCAAATTTGAAACGGATATATAAACTTTTGACTTATAAACTTTAGGTCTATAACTTTAGGTGTATAAACTTTAGGTGTATAGAAATACTATATATAAAAAAATATTCGAATTCAAATTCAAATTTGAATCAGATATATAAACTTTTGACTTATAAACTTTTAGTCTCTAAACTTTGGATGTGTAAACTTGAGGTGTATAAATTTACTAAAATAGAAAAGTAATGTGGTGCCAAAAAAGGAAATCAGGTGGATCGCTGCCCCATCCCCAGGGCGATCGATCGCCGAACAGCATTTCCGTAAAATCCCTACATGCCAAATCCACCGCCTAGTAATCCTACATGCCAAATCAACAGGTTAAATCCCTACCGTTCATTCGCACCTCAGGTGTAATCCATATCATCCACCCCTCTCCACCACACGATTTCACCCTCTCCACGCGCGGTCTCCGCGCAAAGAATACGCCTCATCACCCTCTCAACCCGAGCCTCGCTCCTCCTCGCGTCGTCGTCTCGTCCCATTCTGCAGCCGCCGCCGCGGCACACTGAACCGAGGCGAGGTCTTCCCCAGCCACCGCCGGAGCCGTGGTCTTCCCCATCCGTCGCGGCCGGCAGCAGCAGGAGCCGACGTCGTCCTCATCTGCCGCCGCCGCTGCAATCCACCGCTACCCTCGAGGTCGTCGCCTTCTTCCGCCGCCACACACTCCGCCGTCGCCGCCACGGATTGAACCGGAGGCGAGGTCTTCCCCAGCCTCCCACGGAGCCGAGGTCTTCTCCATCAGCCGCGCACTCCACCGTGATTTCTCCGCCCATCCGCTGCTCCATCGTGATTTCTCCGCCGCTGCAACCTCTGCCCCACCGATCGCACCCCATCGCATCGCCGGTTCCTCGCGCTTGTTGCCGAGTCCGAGTCGATCCGATTGGTTCCTCCGTTGAGGTTGCCCCTGCCAGGAAGGCCAAGCCGATCCAGCATCTGCTCCACCTACTGGCCCCTCCCCGTTCTCTGCTCCTGACACCGTCGGACATCAACCACAGGCCACCAGCAACTGCACCTGCACCTTGATGCTCGCATGATTGTGATGACACATAATCTCGATCTGCAACTCACCGTCTCCATTTTCTCAAGCCGGAACATTGGGGACACTCCGTATTATGGCAGGAGCAGCGTGGAGTCAAAGCCCTGCTCCGTAGAGGGCTCGAGGCTGCGCGGATCTGGCCGCTTCGGCCGCCCGGCCCACTCAACCGGCTTGCCTGCACCATGATTGCTCTCTCAGCAATCGCCCGGCGACTCGCTTCCTCTCTTTGAACACAGCTGGGGTGTGCGACATGGCTATGGTGGAGGATCTGCCCCCACCCAGGTGAACCCTCACTTTAGACTGTAGATTGCAACAGCTGTATGTAAATTACAATAACGATTTCTCTATTAACTATTATGATGAACCTGCAGTTTAATCTGAAAATTTAGGCAAAATGTAACCGTTGCAGTCCTTTGTTTTCCTTCTCAAACACACCATTCCAGTCTTTTGGAATGACCCTAAAGCTGACCAATCACCTGTGTAGGAACCCTCTACTTTGCAGAAGCAGAAGCGTTACTTGGCATATATACTTTGCAGAAGCAGAAACACAACTTGGCGGTGGCTGGTTTATTTAGCAATCTCTAGTTGGCTTTGATGGCCAGTGTGGTAATTAATTTCAGAAATCTCCGATTCTTGTTGACAAATTTTTTTTTTGCAGGTTGAACATGGTGATTTCAGACATTAATCAATGATGGATTATCTGCTTGCCTATTCTTTCTGTTACATCAGTTGTGGGATGTTTTTCTGTTAAATTAATCTAGGTTGCTCTCTTGATCTGGTCTAGACAGATCCTAAGCAAAGGTTGCAATAAGGAAAACAAAAGGAAAAGGTGAGAGAGGTTCTTAGTATACCTGTTGACTGTAGCTGTGTCAATTTTAGTTCAAATATTTATTGGTTTTATCATGTATACTGCACTGTGGTTCATGAAGAACAAGAAGAATTTGTATTTGGTCTACTTAATTGATCTAAATTATGTAGAACTTCATGATTTTCTTCAGTGCAAAATATTTATTAAAAACTGCCAAATATAGTTTTTTTCATTTTTTTTATCCCTATAAAGAACTGCTAGAACCTTTTTTTTTACTATGTGCAAAATAACATTTGCATTTTTTTTTAACAAAGAAGCAGTCTTACATCATGTGTAACAGTCTTTTCTATTATAATCTGCTACTAGAAAATCATGTGCCTCACATTTTACAAGATCATTGATGATATGAATGCTTAAGGATGCTATTTTGAATTGTTGGTTTTCTCAGCAAGCAAAAGTTTCCATGGTTTTATCTGATTTATTTTTATTACCTCACACTTAGGATATATAGCATATTGCATTATGTTATCTGATTTGTTCATTCTAGAACTGTAGACCTTTAAAATTAACACTTATATTTTTCATATTGTCCTTATCAATAATGAGATCTTCTCAACAAATGTTTGCAGATGAACACTGTTTACTACAGCGGAATCTTTGTGCTCTTTATCCAATCTGCAGAGATGTGGGTACCAAGGAGTTGTATTGTTATGAATATTTGACTTCTTTATTTTTCCAGTTTATTGATCATCTTACATATTTAATGATGTTATAATATTTAATGATGAATATCTTAAACACAGGGAATAGGTCCCCATCATAGCAATAAGCTTATGTATTATGTTTAAAAAAACAATTCTACATGTGTAAAGCTTTGTGATCTTATAAGCAACTAGAGAGGTAAAAGCACATGGTAAACCTGGGCTCTTATTCATACTTTTAACATTTTGTATTCATTTTAACTGTATTTTAAGTCGCTCTTAAAATGGTCACATGATTCGCTTACTCTGAATTATTTTGTGGAAGTTTTCAAGAATTTGGATGCAGCTGCTCTAGGAATTCATCTCGGGTGGAGGGTAAACCTTCACTGTCATTCAAGTCAACAATACATTCATTAATTGAAAAAATGATTTTTTAATCCATTCTGAACAGTGCAGAACTTTCTGAATTATCTATCGGTGTTTAGTTGTTGATTGTTGTTTTATTGAGGGGTATTATTAAATATCAAAGCATATAGTTGTAGATAAAGAATCAAGTTTTATGACTTGGTTTTAGTTATACATATCTTTCTTCAAAGTTCAAAAATAAAAATTGTAACATCGTATCTACCTGGCACCTTATCTTGCAAAAGTTGAGGCTGTTTACCGTCCTTAGAAAAAAAAATGTTCTTCAGGTATTGGAAGTATAACATTTGTATTTGATTTTACAATGAGGGCACGAAACTCGCTTTCTGTTGGACTCAAACTGAACCATTTTGGTTGATACCCTAACATTTTGCTCTACCATATAACTTATTTCACTATTGCAACTTTATTTCATAAAGAAATTTCTGGAGTTTGGTGCATAGCTGCTTGAAGGCTTACAATTTGTTTAGTTGTGCTTACTATTTGAATTTATTATGTTCAAAGTAGTTTCAAAATACTAATGATTCTTAGTTACTTTTGGGGAAAAATCGGTTATGCTCATTCAAGAATGTATGTCTAACAACACATGTGATACTCTTTTCCAAAAATTATACAAATACTTATTCAGTTTGAGAGTATTTCAATGTTCCTAGTTTAGTTTTCAGTTTTTTCTCCAAGCAGTTAATTTTGTTTTTTTTAATGCAGCTCAAAATATCCATGTCAACTTGAAGTTATTGTGGATTGCAGATTGTGAAAAAATTCCATTACCAAGCAAGGAATCAGAGAAAGCGCTCCATCGACGCCTTGCCGGCGGCCATGGGAACAGCCGTCCCTGCATCATCAGCTGCGGCAGAAACGGCCCTGCTTAGCTTTGCCTCGCCGTCAGCCATGGGAAATGCTGCTGCTTCACCAAGCAAAACAAAAAAAATGCCATAACATCCTCGATGACTTATGCACGTCGTCCGCCGCCAGAACTGATGCTAACCTCGGAGAAGCCCAGCGCCGGGGAAGACGTGAAGACGCCGAACACCGGAGGGGACGCTGCGTGCGCGTCACTGCCGATGAGGACCGGCACCCTTGCTGCTCTTGGTTGCTTCTCTTGCTGGATTTTGGGCTTTGAAAAAAGCAAACGGGTTCAGTTCGGATCTTTTAGTGCGGGCCCTATATAACCAGCACATCCGACGGCCAAGAATTCAGCTGATAACACAAAAATAAACAGCCGGCTGACGGATAGCAAATCCCAAAATGATACTCCCTCGGTTTCAAGTCATAATACGGTCTGACTTTAACTAAAGTTAAACTGTTTTAGGTTTAACTAAGTTTGTAAAAAATTAGTAACATTTTTAACCCAAGACAAATTTATTATGAAAATATATTCAATTATTGATTTGATGAAACTAATTTAGTATTATAAATATTACTATATTTGTCTATATCCGTTGGATAAGAAATCAACGGTATAGAAGAAACAATGAACCTAGCTGTAAATTATAGATTTCCAAGGGGTTAAATGGAAAAGGTGGCATACCTTATAGAGAAATCGTCTCCTCTTGCGGTCTCTCCTCACCTCTTCCTCCTCGGCTCCTCCGGCAAGTCGCAAGCCATCTCCAGGGCCAGCCGCCGCCTCTCCGCATCAACGTTGGCCCTCGCTGATTCATCCAGTGCTGTCCCTCGCCGATTTGTCCAGTGCCATCCCTCGTCGCCCTTTGGCACCAACGCCTACCCTCGCCGATCCGGCAATCCCCATCCCCAAGAAATCCTAGCCCACAGCGCCGCCCTCACTTCACCCCTCCTTGTGTCAAAGGCTCTCACGAGCCAAGCGCTGCCACCTCCTCCTCGCCCCCTTTCCGTCTGTCTGCCTCCTTCCTTTCCAATGCGCTCGACCCGGCGGGCCAGTGGTCGAGCTTTGTGCAGCACTAGGATCGATCACTACTGGAGAAACTATCTTTGGTCGGTTTCCCAAAATCCACAATAGTCTCGGTTCACTAAAAAACCAGGACTAAAAAGTATCTTTAGACTCGGTTTATAAGTGTAAGGGGACTATGTGATCTTTAGTCCCGGTTCACCTTGTGTCAAAGGCTCTCAGGACCCTAGAGATCTTTAGTCCCGGTTTGTAATATCAACCGGAACTAAAATTTTAACTTTAGTCCCGGTTGTTATTCTCAACCGGGACTAAAAATCAATATACAGTATATAATCCCTTGCTCTTATCCTCAAAAATTTCGATCTCCTATTCCTCCTCCTCTCTCCCTCACTCTTATCCTCTCCTTACCTTCCTATTCCCCCTCCTCTCTAGTCTCTCGGTATTATCCACTCGGTGTACCGCCGAGGAGCGCCGGCTAGGAGCCAGTGGGGCGAGGCGACGGGAGAAGCGGCGGCGGCGGCCCACGGCGGTGGCAGGAAGCGGCAGCGGCAGCTCGCGGCAGGATGCAGCGGCGGTCGTATTTCATTTTTTCTCTCTTTTTTTAAGAATTTGTGTTTCATTGAATCTGTATTATTTGATCTGTGATGTATTTGTGATCTGTGATGAATTTGTGATGTAAATTTTTTTAGAATGTGTGATGTTTTTTAGTTTGACAATATGTGATGCGAATATTATGATTTGTGATGTTGTTACTTGATTTGGGGATGTAGGGAGCATCTCGATTTGAAATTTGTGAAGGTTTTGTGATTTTGGTGAGATTGGTGTGAAATCAACATGCAAAGAATAATGAAAAAAAAAGAGAAGGATAGGGACCAGAGACGTGGTGCTATCCTCCGGGAGTAAAGATACCCGGTTGGAAAACCGGGACTAAAGGGGGTTACCAACCGGGAGTAAAAAACATTTCTCCACCAGTGGGTTTAATTTTTCGGTTCGGCCGATTCTATTGAAGGTCACCGATATACTGAAATTTCAGTCCAAAATTTCCAACCCTATGCAGCACTCGAGTGGGATGGCCGGCGGGGTATCAGGGTTGGACTTCGATGTTGTACTCAAGGCGTAGTGGTCAATCCTATCCGTCGCCGTCAACATAGCTGCAGTCGTTGCCTCTCTAACCCCTCGCCCCTCTCTCAGTTGACGTCCTCGCCAGCTCGTGAGTCCACTTCCCCTTCCCCTGACGGTTGCTTAGGGTATGTTCAGATACCCTTTTCCTAACCCCTCTCCCTCGTTTTCCGCGGCACGCTTTTCAAACTACTAAACGATGTGTTTTTTGCAAAAAGTTTCTATACGAAAGTTGCTTAAAAAAATCAAATTAATCCATTTATGAAAAAAAGCTAATACTTAATTAAGCACGCGTTAACAGACCGCTCCGTTTTCCGTGAGTCGGTTAACACACCCTTAGAGTGGACATGAATGTGAGTGTATGACCTATACATAATCAGTTGGGTACAAACACAATGTAGATTTTTTATGGTTCTAGAAAATGTAACAAATTTTAAGCGATTATTGTTTAATGTCCATAGCTGATCCTAGAATTAGAATTGTTCTTCGGTGATTATGTTCTTCGCTGATCCTGTGAGTTCATTAATATATGAAAAACCATAACTGCGGTTGACAAGGAACCTTGAGAAAACTTCATCTGTTGCTCAAAATCATCCAGGACTACCACAAGCATGTTCTGATGGTACTGTACTGTACAGTGTACACAGACCTTGGTTGTAGGTACCTACTGATCTTTCAGTGTCTAATGCAGAAAGTGAAAGTGTTCCCATCCAAAGTCATTCAATTACCATATGGTCATTGATTTCTGTAGATGAATTATTTACTGCCCTCCTTAAGTGCTGCCCTTTCTTTTGCTTCTCGATATTATTTGTTCACATGATTGTCTTGTTCTATTGATTTCTTTTTGCAGATGTTATTGGAAAAATTATTGCTGTCTCCAGTGCACAATGATACCTACAAGTTCATCAGATTTCAGGATGAGAAGATTAGCGCCTATATATTATCCAATAAAATAAAGCATGAGGTAATAAGTATCCCTATTTCTTTTAAATATTTCTGTTAGTATGAAATAATATTTAATACTTTACTTTTTTATGTAGAGCTCATCTTCCCAAATGGAGTCACCTCAAGATATTCAGAGCATGTAAGTTGAGCCATGTCATTTGGACATCTTTAGCAAACAGACCTATGAAGATCCAAACAACAGATTATCTGGTACACAACTGCACATATTTCTTTTTTAAATATACTGACGAGACAAGGAAAATATTCATGTAAACTGTAGCTATCTTCTGGGAAAAGTATACTAACATATCATGATTCCTCTTTAGTTCTCTCTTCTACAGTTCTACTGCAGTGAACATTGCAGGGTGTGGTGGTCTAATTATGTTCAGCAAATAAGTCATGGTAGACTTGATCTGTATCCTCAAAATTTGGAATATTCAGCGAAAGAATCATATATATGACCCTTATAACTACACCTTTATGCACCAGGTAATTCCACACGCTTGCTCTTTTTAATAGTTCTCACATATTTCATATACTAGTGAGCGTGCACGTGCAAGGCACGTTTTTCACCATTTATGATATTTTCAAGCTAAATTTATCAATTGTGTCAAATTAGAATCTTAAGATCCATCTAATATATGTTGTTTGTTTCCATCTAAAATATTAATGTAAAAAATAGAATGTGTCGTTTCCATCTCAATTTCAAAATAGAAACATAACAGTTCTTTTTTGCACTTCCATCAAAATAGAATAATTTGTAGAAGTATCTTTGTTTCCATTTCCATTCATTGTCCAACATTTTCACATATTGATGAATCATTGAATAATAACTGGGGAACCAGTTCATTATTGAAAGGTTAACCTTCATTATCACTACAGTATTAAGGTGCCATTAGAGGGCGTGTTTACCAACATGTAATTAGTATAATGCAACCTAATTGACCGAGGGGTTGAATATATTGGTTGCGCAAACATCGTATGGAGTAATTCTTTCCATGTGCATCTTTCCTATTTCTTCATAGACTTATATTATGTCATCTCCTGGCAATAAGCTGTGCTTTCCACATCCAATGCTCTTATATTCACTCCGTCTTTCATATAAAAGCATTAATTGATGTTTCATGAACATAAATCTAACATTATTAGTTCATAATTCGTTCCATTGTCAATGCCATAAAAGATATGATATTCATAACATTTTGGCTCTGTTCGAAAACAATAAACATTATTTCTTTAGTCACACACATCCAGTTAACCAAATATGCTTAGCACATAACATATCAATTATCACCACTAATGGCTTGTTCCTATGAAAAAAATTTAGTGTAAAGAAATACATGGTCTACAATCCACATAATTGATATAATCTCAAAATGAGCATGAACAACATTGCTCCTAGGGGAAAAAAATATTTCTTTCAGCCTTTTAGGTTATAATCTTGACAGGTTAAAGCACTTCCATATTTCACCTGACAAAATTATCTTAGTCAAAACATGTTTGAAGCATTTATACATTTCACATGTTAAATTGAGCTATGCTTCTAGAATAAAATTGATCAAGCAAAACGCAATGTACATGAAAAAAAATCACATATAACATTGAATTCAGGTTCCTATAGAATTCTAACCATTCAATTTTTTACAGGGCCAATGGTACATTTCATTGAGCAACTTATCTATGTGCATCTATCTTGTGGCTGCAGCAGTGCACAAAAAATTGAGTACAGACCATATTTACCATAATGGCTGCTCAAAATTTCTTCTTGTTAGGACAGCGGGGATACCGAAGTATTTCGTCGAACATGTAGGCATGTAGCTTTTGTACCAATTTTCACCATCATCTTTTCTATCTATCTGCCATAACCCACCCGGGAGAAACACAAAACTGATCAATGTATAAATTTCACTATCATCAACCCCTCTCCATAGGCAATAGGGCCGCAACAGTACCAATATAGACATATACCTTGTACCAGCCACTATTGCCATGTTGCTCAAGCAGATCACCATGGCCTTCATTTGAGCTACTCGCAAAGCTTAGAAAACAATATGGCCAAGCTGAAAATAATAAAAAATCAAGCAGTGGAACATTTTATCAAGCAACTCGATCTTTTACATGGCTCTGAACCAGCAAGAAGCCTGAAATGAAGGAAATAAACAGATCCAGGTCTCTAACCAGTCTGAAAATACATCGTTTAGCATAAGTACGTAGTGATCTATGGCATTTTTCTGTAAATTTTTGTACTCTGGAGAACAATCTATTGGATTTTTTATCCATGAATGAATGAAGCTGATACCTGATTGAGGGAAAGTTAGAAACATCAATCAGCAGGTCACCAATTTTTGTCTTAGTAGCAGGCAATAATAATGGCATCGATTGTCGTCGCTGACCACCAGGATCGTCACCTCGTTCCCCCACTGCATCGGATGCTCCTTCCCGGCTGCACCTTAGTGCGTTGGCAGAAACGAAAAAACCTGATTGTGTTGACAAATCTGTTGTGGAGTTCCCATCATTTTTCATTCTATTAAGATGCCACCACCTATTTGTGCAGGGTTCTACCAACGTTTCAGTCACGAACTGAAATAGAATAGAACATGTAAGTCAGAAACTGAAATAACCTGGTTTAGAGGAAGGATTCAGTTTGTACTGTTAATTAAGGATTTCCTCTTGACCAGACTGGTTTTGGCTAGTAAAAGGGATAGCAAGTTCAGCCTTTATTTCCATTTTCCTAAGTATTCATGATTTGGGGCTTCTATAGACGTAGCATATTAAATGCTTCAGAAAACCACTTATCTGGAACATATCTGCCAACGAGCATTTCTAGTGCAAATCTTCGGTTTCTGTTCCCAGAGGTTCTTTTGTCTCAATAGAAGGCACAGTGCACAGTGCATAATTATTTTCATCTGGTAAAACCATCAATAGTGGTGTAGCAAATAGGAGAAAAGCAAACATATGATCAAGGATTTAAATCTCTGGCTATAGCTGCCGCTATAGCCGGAGAAAGCTGCTGGCAATAGCAACCGCTACGATATGTTCAATTTACCGCTATGTTTTCTTTGACGCTATTAGCTGCTTTTAGTTGAAGATTGCCGCTAAACAGACCATCTATTAGCTGCCGCTAAAGGCCTTGGTGGGCTGAAATTCCAACGAACAAGCCCATATTAGGTGACCGTGTGGCTCAAGTGCTCAACAAAACCTAACCCTCTCGCTCTCTCCTCCTCTCCGTGATTGCAGCAGCAGCGGCGGCGACCTGCAGTGGCGACGGCGGCGGATGCTGCTGTGGCTGCGACCGGCAACGGCGGCTGCTGTTATCAGAGGCGGCGGCTGCACAAATCCCTCTCCCTCCTCACTCTTCTTCCCCAAGTGGTGGAGGTAGCTGCGCTCGGAGAAGGCAGCGATGGCTGCGCCAATCCCCACTCTTTTCCCCCAACCCCAAGCAACGACGGCGGCGAATGCATCTGAAGGCCCACTCCTCTCTCCCCCAAGCGCCACCAAGGCACCAAGCTCGAACGGCAGGCACCATGTCCTAGCGGAGTCAGAGGCAGGTAGGATTTCTTGCTTTGATGTTGTCGAGTGTTGAAGAATTGAAGTGTTTTGAACTATTTTGAATCTCTGATGTTGTCACGAATTTATTCTGATATTGGCAAGTTTATGTTCAATTTTTGCAAATCCGCTAAATGGCTTAACTGCAGCTATAGCCGGCCATAGCTGGCCATAGCTGATGAAAAGCCCAGCAGCTAAAGGGCTTAGCCGGAGATTTTAAACCTTGCATATGATATACATTCGAAGGAAGAAATATGTAGCCATCACAATAAGTTCTATATCAGAGCAAATGATCCATTAAACTTTAAAACACGTAAGTACTTCCCCTTGTATATATATAGTTTCAATGGAACCTATAGTGCGTGACAATATGTAGGTGGTTTTGGACAAAGACTTGCAGCTGTAACCGGGTTTCCTAGTTTACCCTATGCTTATGAAGAGGATAACTGGATATCATAGTAATTCTGCAGTGTAAGTGCAGAGACAAAACATGAAACCACTAACACTATCTTGACTCTTGAGGCAGCTTACGTTCCCAAACACTAATATTCCAGGCAATAATAAATTCAAAAAAATGTTCTCTGTATTGGGATAAACAAAAACCAACTTATCTGAGCGTATGGTAAGCTAATCTAGAACATGTAATCAACAGATGTAATCAGCAGATATATACCATTAGAAAGAAGTATTGTGGGCAACCATTGTATTTATCTTCCTCTCCACCTCCATGCCAATCAATTGTCAACTATCTGCACTGACATCAAATTACATCATGACACATGCAGGCGATAAATGAAATAGCAAATGAAAATTTTTGCTATTCTTCGCATACAAAATTTTCGCAGCAGCATAATGTAAAATTTTTGAAAGCCACCAAAATTAGAAGGTCTTCCAAGAAAATGTTTATATATCACTCAATAACAGCCGCAAATGAGCCAGGAACTGTGGATTTTAGGTTACAGGAGCACCAGGTAAACACGCGTCATATTCATTCCATCTCCAAGCCACCAACTGGGCATGCATGCATTGGTGTGCCAATAACATGAACCATTGTGACTGCCTTATACTGTTGGCATCCCTCTAAGATCAACACCACAAAACCCTGAAACGGGGAACCACTACATGCTCAGACTTCAACCATCATCCAGGACTAACATCGATCAGTATCGCCATTAGCCTTTCAAACAACAGTAACCTTACCTAGCCTACCCTAAAAAAACATCCTGGTTTAGAGGAAGGATAGAGTACAGACTGAATTTCCTTAACTGAGTTAAGGATTCAGTCTCTTACTTAACTGACAGCAAAGCCCAATTTCTTGAAAGTGACAATTTGTTGATCCAAAGTTCGTCCTTTTTTTCGTTGTCTTCACCCTCGCCATGGAGGTTTCGATCTCCTAAGCGGCTGGTTCTTCGTCTGCGTCGTCGTCGTCGAGAGGGATCGATCTCGGCCTCTCGGTCCTTGTTCAAGTCAAGCATCAGCAGCATCTCCACCGGTCGTCGCGGACATGGTCCTCGTCGTCGAGCCATCTCTACCGACGCAACCGGCCTCTCCGCCCGGATTGCCGCCTAGAGCACATCACCGCCGCTTCGTCCGCCTCCAGATCCACTCGGTCATCGGCACCACCTCGCCACTTGTCGACCTGCGCCCGCCGCTGGCCACCGACTCAACCGCCCGGCCTCCCGCCGGCCTGGCGCTCCCCATCGACGCCGCCCTCTGTCATCTCCACTCCGTCGACGCCGCCGGCCCGTTGCCCTGCGCCGACCCCGTCCACGCCGGTGCACGGGGTACTCGTCCCGCCGGTCTCACCGCCCCCTCTGCCTGGAGCACGCCTTCACGCCGCTGGCCGGCCCGTCGCCCTGCGCCTCTCCACCGCCGACCGCCACCGTCTCTGCGCTGCCTCCGCCCAACCTCTGCTCCAAACCGCCGCCGGGTCCCCTTCCGATCTGGAGGCCGTCCTCGACCCTTCGCCTCGGCGCGCCGCCGACCTGGACGATGGGGGAGGAGGAGGCGCGGCGGCGGAAGGAGGAGGAGGAGGCGCCGGCGGTCTGGGCGACGGTTTCTTTTCTTTTCTTTTTGGCGATTTGGCGATGCAGGGTTAATCGGCGCTTATTGCAATTACAGCGTTAATTGCACTAAACAACTCTTACGTTTTATATTAGTCTAGATATTGCGATGAATTATTACTCCTATTTAATAGCTTGATTTTTGATTTTCTAAAAAAAAGTGCTATTTACTTATTGTAATTAAGCATTGTGGTTGATGTTGTCTTTATTTACTAATGACAAACATGATTAATAGCTGCGTTAATTACATGTACCTGGAACTAATTTTGAGTCATGACTGATCGAGCAGGGTAATGTATAGGCTGCCTAGAGTAAGTATTGCATTTATTCGAGATAGAGTATAACGGTATATTCTAGAGTAAGAATTGTATTGTTGGTCTAAAGGAAAAAAATTCATTTGACACGTTGTACTTTGAATCAACGATGTTAAGCTTTTTTTTTTTATACCACAAGTGTGCCTTGCATGTTCTCTACAACTATATGGCAGTAACAGACTAGAGAAGATGTTTGGGGTTTGCCTGTTGTGTTCACTGGAATGATTTTGTAGTATTGAAAGTAAATTTGAAGCTTTCATAAGCAAGCTGTGATGATTCTTTATATAATCTTAGCGTTATGAAATTTCACTGTTTGGCAGAACCTTGTTGTCCTTGAGTCGTGAAAACTCCAGCAAAATATTGTTCGGGTTAGAATTAGGTACAAGCATCTGATTAAGTTATTATAAATCACATCCACCATCTGATTTAGTGAAGGTATCCCTAAAACAAACAACATGGATACAAATTAATCACCTTACAAAGGGTGATTCCTCTATCTTTACAAAGGATGATTCCTCTATCTTTACAAAGGATGATTCCTCTATCTTTACAAAATTAAAAAAAAACATCAGTTGCAGCAAAAAAAGTTTCTTCTCTACATAGTTCAAATATATTATGCTGAAGAACTTTATTATACAATACAATTTATATACTTTGGAGTCATATATTAGTTTTCTGAAACATTGGAGCAAATGTGATCCATCTAATAAAATGTTTTATGATACCATTTACTCATTATTTATATTATTGCTTTTCTCAATATTTACTATTATAAAGGATGCTGATTCACTGATTCTTAACTATCTTAATTTTGTTGGTTTTTTACTTTAGATGTTCCATGACAACCATATAATCATTCAATATATTACATAAATAATTATACTATTATTATTGCAGAAAAGTACTCCATCCGTTTCTGGTTATAAGACGTTTTGACTTTGGTCAAAGTCAAATTACTCTAAGTTTGACTAATTTTATAGAAAAAAAATAGTAATATTTTTAACCCATGTCAAAAATATTATGAACATTTATTCAATTATAGATTTAATGAAACTATGCTAGAGTTGTAAATATTACTAATTTTTTCTATAGAATTAGTCAAATTTAGAGTAGTTTGACTTTGACCAAAGTCAAAACATCTTATAATCTGAAACGGAGGGAGTAGTAGTGAAGAAGATACTGATTATCATTTGATTCAAACAAACAGTAAAAATAAGCGCTGCTTGATAACATATCCGATAGAAACCACATACTTTTGTTATATGGATTATGCACAACACTAACTTTTGGTGTATTTATAACAGATGCATTACATGTCCATCGAGAAAAGTGGTGATCCAAAACCTATACTCATCTAGCTAGCTTAATTTATCAGAAAATTGAAATAGGGCTTTATCAAAAGCTATGATTCAGGTCCCGAACAATGTATGACTATATAATAGACAGTTTATATTTATATATTGAATAATCTACAATATGGCTAAGTACTATACTCAAGTAGTAATGCAAAGTTATGGCTACTATTGAGATGGCTCTCACAAAGTTCCAGTTTAGATGTTTTTAGATGTTGAATCAGTGGCGGATCTAGAAATTTTCTTCAGCCTGGGCATTAAGGCAAGGCTAACAAAAAATCGATGTATAACAAGTACAGAGAATAATGGTGTAGAAGTAAAATTGACAATCCTCAAGTACTTGTTTTGCTATTGTGTTAAGCATGGTAATCAAATAATAAACAAACTACTGCTACACCTGCCTAGCTAAGCATGCATGCTAATTAGGTAACTAGTGTTGCGTTGGATGGAGCCCGGGCACCTGCCCAGGGTCGCCCGGCGCTGTCTTCGCCACTGTGTTCAATTATCATTGATTAATCAATTGCCAGCTTTATCTATTTACATGTTGAAGTACTCCACTGTACTCATTTCAATGACTTTGTGATATACATGTAACATGTTATTACAATTTGTTCCTGGATCTTGAATTCCTGATTCGATTGGGCACTATTTCATGCAGTGCTGGGGCTGTCTCCTGAATAGTTTTACCATCCATAAACTGAAATTTCTATCTGTTGAAAATGGCCATCAAACGGAAAAGAATCATTTCTGTAGAACAGCATGATGGTTAAACATGGAACTGAGTTTTTTTTTCCCAAGGGGAACAGAGGGATTTTGGGCTTTGCAATATGAGCATATATGCCAATCAGAACAAGATTAATGTCTTATTTGGCTGATGATAAGGCTTAATAATTAATAGGGTATACGCTGCATCCAATTGGGCAGGCCTACATATACTTCCACGCGAAGCCGTGGTTACTTTCTAGTATTTGTGAAAGCTACACCGAAAAGGACAAAATAAATGGGTGAGGGTTGAGACAGTTGAACCTAGTACCAGGTGCATGAAAGAAACACTATAAAGGACCACTACGTACGAAAGCGTAAGCTTTGGCCTTTGAGCTAGGTGCATGAGATAAAGATGCACATGCACTCCACAGCCACTGTGAAAGAACAAGTTGTGTGTACGTATGTATGTAATATATTTCAACAGAAAATTTATTGTATTCCAACTGAATACAATGAATCATTGCAGTACCTCCGCCCCCTGTTAGTTGTACTCGGGCAGTGGGGAGCATCCCGTCCCACATGGAGGTCGATGGGGATCGATGGAGCAAGTCACAACGGGAGTCAATGAGTACAGAAGGAGCATAGTGTGAGTGTGTCTTACATCATGGGATCCGTTCGACGAGTGCAGAAGAAGCATCGGTACTAGTGTGGGTGAGTGTCTTGTATCATGGAAGCAACCAAGGTGTACCTTTGTAGCCATTTGATGGATAGCATGGGGATTTTCAGTTCAAATGTCAAAGTTTCCATAATGTGATTAAGTTGTGCTTCTCTATCATCAATTGCCGATGTGGTGCTAAACCGCCCATTACACATCGGATTGCTTCCCTATCATCCATTACTAATGTGAGATTAAACGACCTATTACATATTGAGTGGCTCACTTCGGCCCAGCTCCGCTATTCATAGGTTCACCAGAGATTCTCCACAAGTTTACAAACTTGACTCCAATGCCGTTTACACTTAAAAAAAAGATACACACATGCCGGCACTATAGGTGCTGGAACAAGCACCTTTTGTATTTTTCCCACCTCCATAGGCTGAAAGTACAAAAAAAAAATTGGCACTTTAACTGACTATATAAAAAAGATACCTATACTATAGGTGGATACCTTTAATATATTATAGGTGTCGGTTAATTAAAACTAACACCTATAAAACGAACCGAGCTGAGCCGAGAGAGAGAGCCATTTTTTTAGCCCATGGGCTGGGTGCGAGTGGATAAAGACGTTGCGTGGGAGGTGAGGGGGGCATCCTTATCTACTCGCCCCCTCCTCTCACCCGTCTCTCTCACCCTCTCACGTGGTCACTCCCTCTCCTCCCCTCTTGTCCCTGCCCCCTCTCCCTCTCATCTCTCCCTTGCCGGTAGCAGAGCAGGCGGCGGCGATGGCATCGGCGGGTCCCGCGGGCCGGATCCTGCGCTCCTCAACCCCCTCCCCCTCCCCATCCGCCCGCAAGGTTCTCCCGCGGATCCGGCGGTGGCGGTGGCGGTGATGGTGGCATCGGCAGCTCCCACTGGCGGATCCGGCGAAGACGGCGATGATGTCATTTCCGGTGGATGGATCCGGCGGTAGAGGTGTTTTCGGCGGTCCTCTACCCCTCCCTCTCACCCTCTGTGCCCAAGCTTCTCCCGCGGCTGCGGCAGTGGCATCGGCACTCCCGCGGGCAGATCTAGCTAAGGTGGCGGCGGTAGCGTTTCCGAAAGGCAGATCTAGTGGTCCTCTACAACATCCCCCTCCGCCCCAAGCTTCTTCAGCGGCGGATCCGACATTCCTAGGGTGGCGGCTTCTCGCGCAGATCCAGCAGCGGTGGCGACGTTGGCGGCTCCCGCGGGCAGATCTGGCGGAGGGGACATTGGCGACAGTGGGTGGATCTATGGGTGTTTATGTTATTTGTGTGTTTGTGTTGTTGTGTTTATGTGATGATGATGTTGTTGATGTGATTGATTTTAGGGGTAATTTTGGGGCCGAAGCGGGGGGAACTCGCACTCGATGCATTGGCTTGATTCCGAGCCAATGCATCGAGCCGACCCTTTTTTCTTTTGCATCTAGGAGACCTTAAAGGTGCCGGTTCCTAAACCAGCACCTTTAAGAGGACTCAAAGGTGCCACTATCTAGGTGTTGGTTGGGAAAACCGGCACCTATCGCCTATTCAGTAGTAGTGTTATTTATGTGCTAAGGATCCAAACCCATCACATATTGTTTGTGTTCCCCTATGCAATCGTGCGATTTGGAGATCATTGCGGGAGAGAGAACAGCGAGAAGAAGAGCTTATACTGATAGGTGGGGTTAATGTTGTTTTAAAAAATAAATTGTTGACTGGATTAACATGTGTGAGAAAACCACCTCGTTGTGACCGAGGGTGTAAAATTGAATAGTATTAATAGTGTTAGAATAGGTGTCGAATATACTAATTACAATATGTTGAGAAAATTCAATCTATAGTACAGCTAACAGAACGATACCAAAAAACAGAACAAAAAATTTCCAATTTCGACCGGAAGCATGGGCCACCTGTTTTTCTTCGATTCATAGCACCTTCATCACAGCTGCCATTCGGGTCAAGTTTGTAGCAGTGAGTTAGGATGGAGAAAGACCAATTTGCCCTTGGACCAAGCTATCGGCTACGGTGGACCAACTATTTGCTGCTTAACCTCAAGCACAGCGAGTTCACCGACGCAGAGGAGTAGACCATCAAGCTCCACTCCGTTGTCGGCAACAGGTAAGCAACGAATGATCTCTCTATGCCATTTTTTTTCCATTTCTGGCAATGTGTATTGAGCAACGCGATCTGTGCGTGCAGATGGTCGGCGATCATGGCGCGACTGCTTGGGCGGACGGGCAACAACATGAAGAACCACTGAAACACGAAGCTGAAGAAGAAGCTGTCCAGGATGGGCATCAACCCCGTTATGCACAAGTCCTTCTCGCACCTTATGGCCGAGGTCATGTTACAACTTATACTACTACCAAGGAT